AAAACCTGCATGGCCAAGAAAAGAACGTACTTCCCGAACATTTGTCGGGTATGGTAAGCTCTTAATAATATCTGTTTTGGCCTTGTCAACTTCTAAACCTTTCTGGGACACCACATGTCCAAGTATCAAGCCCTTGTCGACCATAAAATGGCATTTTTCATAATTAAGGACTAAGTTCGTATCAATGCACCTTTGTAAGATTTTGGTGAGATTTTGCAAACATTCATTAAAAGAGTTTCCATAAACAGTAAAATCGTCCATGAAAACCTCTATGATATTTTCGACATATTCTGAAAATATGCTCACCATACATCTTTGGAAGGTTGCGGGTGCATTGCACAAACCAAAGGGCATGCGTCTATACGCAAAGGTGCCGAAGGGACATGTGAATGTGGTTTTCTCTTGGTCTTCCGGGGCAACCGGAATTTGATGAAAACCAGAGAAACCATCAAGGCAGCAGTAATGGGATTTCCCGGCCAATCGTTCTAACATCTGATCAATGAATGGCAAAGGGAAGTGGTCTTTGCGGGTGGAAGCATTCAGCTTTCTATAATCGATACAAACTCTCCACCCGTTTTGCACACGGGTGGGTACCAATTCCCCTTCGGAGTTTTTGACAACGGTAACTCCAGCTTTTTTCGGGACTACTTGCACAGGACTCACCCACTTACTATCAGAAATAGGATAGATTACACCTGCATCCAAGAGCTTCATGATCTCCTTTTTGACCACCTCCATCATAGGTGGATTCAACCTCCTCTGTGCTTCACGGGTTGGCTTGAAGTCCTCTTCCATCAGTATTTTGTGCATGCATAATGATGGGCTCAACCCTTTTATATCCGCAATAGTCCAACCAATAGCCTCCTTGTATTTCTTCAAAATTCCAACTAACTCTTTTTCTTCTTCTCGTGCCAGCTTAGTCGAAATTATCACCGGTAGTGTCTCTTCCTCTCCAAGATAGGCATACTTGAGATGGTCGGGAAGAGCCTTCAACTCAAGAGTCGGCGGCTGTACTATGGATGGGAGAAGTTTCGGATTAGAACTTTTTAGCTTCATGCGGGGTGGTTCAACTCTCATGGGTTGTGCTTTCTCCAAGGAATCAATTACTTCGATCAATTCGTCTTCCAATGTGTACTTGTCAGCCAACTCTTTAATCCCTGTCTCATCAAAGTGTTTGCTCAAGATGGTGGTTAGCACATCTTGGCTTGACATCTCAAAGCAATCATTAGTACATGAATCAATAACATCTATGAAGTTTAAAGAATGAATATCGCTAGGATAACGCATAGCTTCAAAGATATTAAAGTTAATTACCTCACCATCGAATTCCATTGACAAAGTACCATTGGCTACATCTATTTTTGTTTTTGCGGTACTCATAAAGGGTCTCCCCAAAAGGATGGAGCTCGATTGTGGGGTGTTTTCATCACCCATGTCTAAAACATAAAAATCAGCGGGAAAAACGAGCTCATTAACTTGCACTAACACGTCCTCCAATACACCTTTCGGATGTACCAAAGACCGATCAGCAAGTTGAATGATAACTCCGGTTTTTGATAAAGGTCCAATTCCCATTGTCTTATAACTTGAATAAGGTAAAACATTAATTGATGCTCCAAGATCAAGCATGGCACGTGGTACAAAAAGGTTACCCATTTTGCAAGGAACCGTGAAAACACCCGGATCCTTGCATTTTTTCGGTAGCCGCTTTTGTAACACGGCTGAGACATTTTCACCAACCTTCACGGTTTGATTTCCTTTAAGCTTTTTCTTAGATGTGCAAAGTTCCTTAAGGAACTTAGCATATCTAGGAATCTGTGTAATGGCATCTAGAAGAGGGATATTGATTTCAACCTTTCGAAACATGGCCATGATTTCGTCATCTTCCCTTTCTCTTTTGGTGCTTGCCAGCCTTGAAGGAAATGGAGCTGGTGTGACTTTCACTTCAGATTCTATTAGCTTCTTGGACTTTGGATTACTCTTCTTTTCCTCTTCTTTGATAGCTTCTTCCACCTCAATCTCCTTCTCTTCTTCTTCTTCTTCTTCTTCCGGCATCTTTGGATTTTCATAGCTTTTCCCACCTCTTAATGTAATTGCACACGCATTGTGTTTTGGGTTCTTCTCCGTTTGAGAGGGTAGCTTGCCTTGCGACTCCATCTTACTCACGGACTGAGCAAGTTGTGATACTTGTTGCTCCAAGCTTTTTATGCTCGCCTTGGTTTCTTGTTGAAAGCTTTGAGTACTTGTGGCAAGGCTTTTTACTATGTCTTCTAAGGACATATTTGAAGAACTCGCTTGGGGAGGGGGTTGTTGTGGATGCCTTGGTTGGAAATTTTGAGGTTGGAATGGTGGTCGTGGTTGATTTTGAGGAAATGGTGGTCTTGGTTGATATTGATGCGATTGATTGTGCTGATAGTTCCCTTGTTGATTGCCTCCCCACCCTTGATTATTGTTCCATCGCTGATCACCTCTTGGTTGCTCATAACCTCTTTGATTTGCCCCCGAATAGCCTCCCATGACTTTCGCTTCTTCATAATCTTCCTCTTGGAGTTGTGGGCACATATCAGTTGGATGCCCCACTTGGGTGCAAATACCGCACGGGCGGGGTGTGGACTGCACACCTTTGTCTTTGGCCAACATCATGACTACTTTCGTGAGCTCGGACAATTGAGCTTCAATCTGAGGAGTTTGTACTTCTTTTACACCCCGGGGTGCATCCGTGTACCATTCTTCATCATGGCTTGAATGTTTGGAATCTTCAGCCATGTTCTTGATTAGATTTCGGATCTCAGTTGGGGTTTTATCGGGCAAAGATCCACCACTAGAGGCGTTAAGAAGCCTTCTTTCCATTGGAGTCATTCCTTCAATGAAATATTGAAGGAGCTGGTACTCAGTGATCCCGTGCTTTGGACAACGAGCACAAAGTTTCTTGAATCTTTCCCAATATGTGTGGAAAGCTTCTCTTTTGTGTTGCTTGATTCCGATAATTTCCCGTCGTAGGGCTGAAGCTTTCATTTCGGGAAAATATTTGTCCAAAAACAATCTCGCAAGATCTACCCAAGTAGTTACCGTCCCCGGTGGAAGGTCATAAAGCCAATCTTTGGCCGCGTCTTGCACCGCAAAGGGGAATGCCCTAAGCTTGATTTGGTCCTCCGTGACATTGTGTGGTTTCATACCCACACATACTACATGGAACTCGGTGAGGAACTTGTGAGGATCTTCGTTCTCCAATCCTCTAAAAGTTGGGAGTAAATGGATAAGCCCGGATTTTAGTTCCAAGTTGGTGGCGGCTGGGTATGTGATGCAAAGAGGTTGTTGAGTCACCTCTTGTCTTGACCATTGACGAAGAGTTTGTTCGGGTGGTGGGTTTGGAGGACCTTGATTCCCTCCGGGGTTATGTGCCATGGCTTGAGAATTGGTTGTGGTTTTTGAAGGTGAACTGTTTAGGATATTATTAATAGGTGAAGAGGGTGGAGTGGTTTTTATGGGTGAGGTTGTTTGTGGTGAGAGTGATGGGCTTTCTGTTTCTGATGCGGATACACTTGAGAGGGGTATGTCCTCCCAAATGTTGATGACCGGGGGATTGGTTGATGAAGAAGTACCGGAAACTGGTTGCCTCTTACGAAGCTTGGCTTGCTTCCTTAACTTCTTTGCAGTCTTCTCTATCTCCGAATCAATTGGCAATGGCGTACCTGTACGAAAAGATCTAGGCATAAACAATTAGTAACACCGTGTCCCCGGCAACGGCGCCAATTTGTTAGGCGTGTCAAACCCAACAAATAAAGGGGTACGATATACTCCAAAATAATCCCACTATATTGCACTAAAAGGTAGTACAAGGCAAGCAGGGTCGATCCACAGAGACACAGGACAATTGGTCTATACCTATTTGCACAAGGTACTATGGTCACCAATAGTAAAAAGAGGGGGGTTTAGAATGTAATGATTAAACAAATAATTAAAAACATAAGCAATCAATTAAGTGCGTGAATTAAATTCAGAATTTGTGAGGACTCCAACCCCATGTATGACAATTTAGCAATGTGACTCCAAGATGACACAATATTCGTTCAATTCTATATAAGTTGGTACTTGAAAGTGCTAATAAGCTCTAACACTTCCCATTCACCATATTAATTAACCAAAACAAGCTCTTTGATTAACCCTAACCTTATTAACCTAATCTAAACAAGCTCTTAGGATTAGATTATAAGATTGCATGAAGCTTTATGTGAATGTTCCCAACAACACCCAATACCCCTCATAAGCTCGGGAGTGTAAAAGTGTATGAATAAGATTTACACAAATTCATTCAATAGAGATTAATTTAATGCTTGTTACTTGTTCAATTTCACAAAACAATTACGGATTTTGTAAAAGAGATAACTTGAATGACCTAACCCTAATTCAAATGGCCAATAAGAATCATAATTAGAATCAAACATTCGATTGAAGCAAAATCAAATTCATTAAATAGAAATTAAGAACAAATATCATGTCATATGAATGAAGTCACTACCAAGAAGTCAAAACATGAAATTGGAGAAATTAGGGTTCTAGCCACACATGGCTAGAACAAGATCACAAGTCTAAAAGATGAAATTAAGTGTAATTACAACTTACAAAAACAAGAATTAATGTTTCCAAATGGTTAACGGACAAACCCTTGCAAAAAGCTTCGAATTCCCTTCTCCAATGGTGCTCTGGTATGTTCTTCTTATGTCCAAATAACCCTCAACCCGTAATATGAAAGATAGGAAAAACTGCCAAAAGTTGGTTTTTTTGGGTCGAACACGGCCCGTGTTAAAATAGGCTAAACTGACACGGGTCGTGTTCAGCAACACGCCCCGTGTTTATTTGCACTAAACTGACACGGGTCGTGTTCAGTATGGTCAACAGCTCCCATTTTGGTCAAACACGCCCCGTGCCCACTTTTCAGTGTAAATTCAACACGCCCCGTGTACCTCTCTGACTCCAAATCCAAACTTGATTTTTCCAACTTTTTCGTTCTTCGCCCGATCGTCCCGAAATCTCCACCAATGCTTCCCGACACTTCCCAAAGCGCGTTCCAACCTCCGGTTTACCTGAAAAAGATATAAAAGTGTGCAAATAAGGTTGTTCTAGAGACTAAAATGAATATGGTAAAATGCAAGGAAAAGGAAGAACAATTGTGCTAATTATATGCATAAAATGGGACTGAAAGGTGTGCAAAAAGGTGCACAAGTAGCACCTAACATCATATCTGAATTTTGGACTTTCTCTCTCTTATGTAAGGAATTGTTGAGTTCACCATGTTGAGGCCAGGTGACAGTATTTCTTCGACACTACCGAGTTCATGTCATCTTGCCGAGGGATGGCACCGAGCCACTCCATGCAGTTGTCTCTATTTTTTAGATTGTTCATGTAGTATTATTTCATCAAGTTTTCATCCATGTTACATATAAATTAACGTATTGCCATTTCTAAATATTATTTGTGTTTTTTTGTTGGACCCACAAAGCTTACACTAACTCCGTCATTCTTTGTTCAAGCAACCATCAACGACACCCTGTTCACCGCCAACAACCACTAACACTCACCACTGACACAAAATATAATGAAACTAAACAAAATCAAACCTTAAACATGAAATTGAAACCAAACTTGAAATTCAAACCTCAAAATCAACATAATTTAAATAAAATAAAATAAAAACTTAGTATAGTGTCCTTTTATCTGTCACTGACGAAAACTGCAACTAGAAAATACCACAAAAATAGTACCCAAGAAAGATGAAAGATGCAAACGAAACACTAAAATTTCTCTAAACTACAATATTTATTCATGTATTTTTTATTCAAAATGTTAGTAATTCGTATTGATAATATTGACTAAATGATACCGATTAGGATTTCTTTTAGTATGCATAATCCAACTAAGTTCATATTCTACATTTAGTAGGTAGTTGTAATAGGTTAGAATCAATTTTATAGCTTTTTATCTGCATGGAAGGCAATTAGGATCTTAATTGTGTTGTGAGTTTAGTCTAAAATTTTAAATTTCTTTTACAAAGACATATTTGTCCTTTTGTTATTTTCCCTTTTTCAATATTTTTTACTATAGAAATCAAAAAGAAAAAGAAAAAAAATACTCACCTCTCTCTCTCTCTCTTCGGGTTTGTGTTTGATAAACACCGAAGAACATATTCATAGATTCAAGAACACTTAAGAACATCTTCCACCACCACCACGTCTGCTACCTCCATCTCCGCCAAAAAATAATCCTAAAAACAATAACCATACACAAAATATGGGTTTGTTTTTAGTTCGCCCGTATCTAGTGAATACACACACATAAAAATCATATATGATGAACACACACACAATCAGATCAGATGAACACACACATACACACACAAAATCAGATGAACACACACACACATGAAATATGATGAACACACATACGAAATTAGATAAACACATACACAAAATCTGAGGAACACACACCCTAACCAAACCAGAACCCCTCTCTCGCTCGCTCTCTCTCTCTCTCTCTCTCTCTGGCAAGTTTTTATTTCGAATCTAGGAAGACAAAGAAGGGTGGTCTGAACTCCGATAACAAACAGACAAAAAATGTACCAATCGATGAACATATCTAAAGCAGACCTGACAACAAAAAGAAGCTGGAATGGAAAAGAAGCAGATATACGTCACCCATTTCTCAAATCTACGATGTCAGCCCCCTTTCTTAGATCTTACATTGACGTAGGAGAAGAAGGATTGTCACCCTTAACCATCGTCGAGGTCTGAACATTTGTTTCTAGTTGTCACCCTTGATGTTCATCGGATCCAGAAGATGAAAACCCTAGTTTCGGATGAGAAAGGTGATGACGCTAGGGTTTTATGAAATTAGAAGGGCGACAGTGCGAAAGGAGAAGGAGAGAGAGATGTTGTCGTCGGAAAAGGAGAGTCGCAATGTCGGTAGTGACGTTCTTATTTTTTCACGCAGAAACATGTAGCCAACGATGGTGTTCTTGAGTGTTTATATGAATATGTGTATGTTTTTAAATGTTAAAGTGTTTTGAATATATGTGGATGAGAGAGAGAGAGAGGAAGAGAGAGAGAGAGAGAGAGAGAGAGAGAGAGAAGAGAGAGAGAGAGAGAAGAGAGAGAGAGAGAGAGGAGAGAGAGGTGGGTATTCATTTTTTGTTATTTCTATAATAAAAAATGAAAA